TTCCTCACCTCTTTCTCTGTAGAAGGAACAGTTGCATTGACAGGCTCATATAACAAATGATATCCAGTAGCTCCACTGGCAGCTTCCCATCTTGCTCTCATTGTTGTGGTTCCAATGTCATAAATGTTAAGGTTTCTAACAGAAGGGATGGGCACTGTTGAGGTAAGGAAAGTTGTGTTATTTATATGTAATCTGCTTCTGGATCCTTTTCTTCAAAGTACCGGTAAATCTCACTAAAGACTAAAAATTGATTAATTGCAAGTACCTTGTTGTGTCTGTAAATATCTCTGTAAGTCTTCAAATCAACCCCTGTGTCCTTGTAGAACCCCTTAGATCCTTAGTTTAGTATATGCATAAGGTCTCAGCTTGTTTTCAAGTCAAAACTAAAATGTATCTATCTTTCATTTTAGTCAGGTTTTTACGTGTCTGTCCCTGTTGGGGAGATACAGTCTTGATTTGTTCAGGTAACCAATGTCTCTGAGACAGAAAGTGAGGTAGAGACCAAAATTTTGAATTGCCATCAGAACAGCAATAGTGGGGAATTCTTCCAGGAGAGACATTTGTTCCAGTGACAACTGTCTGCATGGGAAGCTCCTTCAGATTTTCTCTCACTTCCTCCTGTGTCTACAGAACAGGAGCAGCGCCTGGACAAGGTTATCTAGCACCCAGGGTGAAAATGTCAATCAGCTCCTTCAAAAAATGTATCAGCATTATGTGTCAGCAAAAATCTCCTCTCCCCCCCAAAAAAAATTCAGGCACTATAGGCGGGCTATAGAGGGCTATAGGGACCCTGCACTAGATATGCCACTGGCTGCCCAATTGCCATTGTGCAGTGTTTGCTTACCTGCACCCTACCCATGTTCTTTGCTGGGAGAAAAAGGGGGAAGTTAAACAAACACTGCACAATGGTGATCCACCAGTCCTAATCCAGAAGAGCTGCAGTGGCAGGAGGAGGAGCTGAAGGGGAGAGAGAGCACAACACGCCCCTCCTCCCAGATTTCTCCTCCTCTCCAGATCTGGCTTGTCTCCTCTAGCGCTAAGCTGACAGGAGTAGTAGCGCTACCATCACTACCCCTGTCACCCTTAGGTAGGAACTCTGTATGCGCTGCCCCCCCTCACCTCACATGATACCACAGTGCCCAGGGCAGCCGCCCACCTCTTGTCCCAGCCCTGACAGGAAGTGATGGGAAATCTCCACAATGGGGCAAAGATTGAAAAAAAAAATGACAAGCGCATTCCCCATTCCATACTACATACTTTAAAATAGAAAGAAATGTTTTGGTTTTAGTTTTACTTTAAACCCTACCTCCTCCATTCTGTCTTTCAAATATCAATATCCAGAACCTTTATTTTCTCCATTTGAATGTGAAAGTATGGAGGAAGAGGAACTTAATCTTGACTTAGGCTGAAGTTGAGGCCCTATGTACATCCTGGGTCTGAGATTCAACTAGCTCCACGTTGATCAAGTGAAATGACAAAACTTGTTTCAGTTATGTCTCTGCTTCTTATAATTGTTATGCTATTCACAAAAATTTTATTGTTTATGAAAAAAATTAAGTGACAATTCAGATAATAAACCACCTTAAAATCCACTGTATATACAGTATATACATCTGGAAAAAAATTATATGCAAAATTGCACTAGTTCATTGGTCGAAAACAGAAAGAAAAAACTAACTGAGGAAAAGAAAACTTTGGAAGACCAAAGCTTGGAGTTCTTACTAAACCACTAATCATTTCAGACCTACCAGCGTTTCTGTCTGTGCCAGAACTGCCAATCAGACAGTCTAGAATTGGCTGCATCTTTGAAAAACCATGCTGGATTTGACATAACCTGGTCCAGGGCAACCCTGTGATCATATTCAATTTATGGCAGTTGGATGCTAAATAGTTTTTTATGACGTTGTATTTTAATCCCATATTTTGTTATGTGTGTGCTTCTGTATAAGCTGAAACTGAAACTCCATTTCAAGTATACCTCTTTGCCCTTTTGAAAACATTAACTTTCCAAATTGTTATGCCTCAAAGGCAGTGAAGAGAGTGGGTTGGTGCTGTACATAGCAATGATTCATACACAGGCCAACAATGACCTCATAATATTTGTCTGTTTCTTTTTCCCGTACATTCATCATTAAATATTATGACATGTTGTCTTTGTCAGGTCAATGACATGGGTCAGTTCGAAGCATTCAATATGGTTTTAATTATCACAAAACATATGCTTTAACTATTTCTTGCTGAATAGATTTTCTCGCTTTAAACATGATGAAATGAATTCCACATGTGGCAATGTGTATAAAGCCAGTGATCTAAGATATTTAGAATCTGGAGATATTCTTATTCAGCAAATGACAATGGGAAAAGTTAACAGTTTTTATGTGGGTCATAAAAATAATTCTGAATGTGAAACTGCTGGTATTCACCAGTGGTGTTGATTGAAAGTTATGCTGCTGTCAACTTTACAGATGCAGTCTAGTTTAAGAAAATGTTCATTAAACATGTTATTTATTATAAAGAAAACCAGTTGCATGGTAAGAGCTTATCTGCAGAAAAAATATGTTTTTATCAGCAAACAATAAGAAACAAATTATTCTTTAACCACTTGACCTCTGGAAGATTTACCCCCCTTCATGACCAGGCCATTTTTTGCTATACAACGTTGTGCTACATTAACTGACAATTACGTGGTCATGCAACACTGTACACAAATGAAATCTATATAATTTCTTTAACACAAATAAAGCTTTATTTTGGCAGTATTTGATTATTACTGGGGGGGGGGGTTGCACTATAAATGACAACATTTTGCTATAAAACACACCCGATAAAAAATTTTTATTTTCTTCATAAATTTAGGCCAAAATATATTCTACTGCATGCCTTTGGTAAAAAAAAAATCCCAATAAGGGATTGTAATAATTGGTTTGAGTGAAAGTTATAGCATCTACAAATGGCAGTATATATACTGGAATTTTTATTTATTTATTTTCTCTATTAGTAATGGCGGCGATCAGCAACTTATAGTGGAACTACAGTGGGCATTCTGACACTAACTGACACTGGGTGGGAACTGACTAACTGCCACTGACATCTTCAGGTACACTAATAGTGGTTAATGCTAATAAAAAGCACTGACACTGTACTAATGACTCTGGGCAAGAAGGGGTTAACATCTGGGGCAAACAAAGGGTTAACTGTGTACTGTTTAGTGCTTACTGTGTGCTGTTTTACTAGGGGACGTGCTGCTTTCTATCTCTCTGCTTTGCACAGAGATAAAAACCAGCACATCCCTGCTGTACAGGAGAGAGATCTGTGTGGTTTACACTTAGATCTCTCCCCTGTCAGCTACTCAACAGATCACTGTCTGATCACTGTCATGAGTTCTGGCCATGAATCAATAGCTGGGACCCAGTGATTAACATCTCTGGCAGCCAATGATAGAGAAAAAAGGAAATGCAAAATCACGTATATTTATGTGATTTTGCGCAGAGCGCCCACCTCGTACCACTAAAACAGATATAGGCAGTCGGGAAGTGGTTAAGTGCATTTTTAACTTTCATTATAAAAGTAAGCAAAACTACACAAAACTGGTGTTCTGGCGAGTTTTCATAGTTTGCAATGGTCACATATCAAAGTAAAAGTGCAAAACATAGGGATTATGATGCAATTTGAGATGTTATATCACTTTGACTATCCTATGGGTCATGGTCCTAAAATGTAATATTAAAAGGAACATTGTAGACAGTAACAATCCTTAAAGGATAAGTTCACCTTTTAACAAAAAATAATAGATGCACATTTTTTCAGAGGTACAAAATGTGCATTTACTCTTTTTTGTTTTGGGAGCTTTACAGGCATTGCACCAGCGATGAGCACAGCGACATGGTAGTTCATTGAGAACTACAGGCCGACAGCCGCAAAGGCTGTCAGAACTTGTAGCTTCCCATTCACAGAATATTCTGAATGAGTGATGCGGCCATGTGGGCGAAGCCCAACATAGCCACATTTTTTTTAAATTGTGACAGCTAGCAGGGGAGAAGATCCCCCGCTAGCTGTCAAAAAACAGGTAATCAGGACGATATTACATGTTCCACCCTGAATATGGGCTTAATATGTTATGAAATATGTACTCTTTAAAGTAAACCTTAAAATCGTGTGATGCCATCGCTGATCTTCTGCTTCTGCTTCCTGTCCTACTTGCTCCATTTCAATGACTTAAAACATTTGGTCAACATGACAGGCTAGCAACCAACATATTCAAAAGGAGAGACCAGTAATGACTGCCTCCATATTCTTCTATGACAGGTATCCCTAAAGGGTTTCCATGGCAAGGATCATTATGGAATTGGAGAGTTCCCTGTTCACTAAGAGGAAGGATCCAAATGTAGAACGTACCAAGCATATATTCAGTTTCACTGCCTTTATGAATAACTGGCTTAGTGGTACTTTAGTTACTTTTGATTCCTGTAAATGTGGAGTCGATTGAAAGAGGTCTCTAAACATGAACAATCTGTGTCACTCTGTCCCTCATGACTTCTCCAAGGGGTGTGTGACATTTGTGTTAGAGGAAAACACCACTTATTTTTCTGATCACACTTTCCAATATCACTTTATCATAAATTGTAACCTGTACTAGTCAAGCCTACACTAAAGGAAAATACCCTGTTCACTTTGAAAGTGAAGTTGCAATCAGCAAGCCAACTATCCCCAGAGTGAACTTCCCAGTGAATGGCTGTGAGAGGGGAAGGAGGGGGTGCTGTGAGCAGAAGTCTGAGCATTGGAGGAGAGCAGGCTGAGTTCCTAGCACAGCTACTGAACTGACCACAGTGTATTTCCTGTTTAGTATGGTCAGTTTTTAATAGGAAAACAGAGGGACTGACAGGAACACCAAGGATTTCACACAAAGGAAGCAATACAAAGAGAATAGGATACTTTTTCATACAAGTACATGGTACAGCAGGCACATGTCAGGAATATAAAATGTTGGATTTACATATTCTTTAATATATGATTAAATCAACAAGAAGAAAAAAAAACATACATGTTGTTTCTTGGCCAACCAGTGGCTCGCTGCTCTCTCCTTCTACCACTGAATACACTTTGACAACATATTCTGTTTCGGGCTTTAGGTCAACCAGCACTGTTGTTCTGTCATTTCTGCTAACAATAACCTACAGAAGAAAACCAAATTTAAAAAACAGACTCAAATAAATGTATAATGATGAAAGTATTCTGACATTCTTTTTCTTATGACTTAAAGACGAGGCCAGCACCCAACACTTTGGTGGTATTTTTGACATTTTTTTTTATAACAGGTAAGGGATATTTAATATATTATGGAAAAATAATGAGTGCATTTGCTTGGGTTTAACAAAGTAGGTAGCCTCAGATAAACTATTATTTAATGGATTCTGAATAAGCCTACAGGGTCTATTTAGCAAAACACTAAAAACAGTAATGGCATGCAGGCTGCCAACACAGCAATTTATCTACCCATTCAAAGCTATTAAAAAGTTTGTTTCTGATTGATTGCCAGTTGCCACTGCACAACATTGTCCTTTATGCTATGTTACTAAGTACTGCATGTCCACACAAATCAAGGATTTCAAGCAATAGCAAACCAATTATAGGTTTCCCAGTGCAGGCAGGCTTAAAAAAAGTACACACAGGTGAAGCATGCATTAGAAATTACATACATGGATCTTGTTTATCATAAATTAAATATGTAATCGCATTCAAGCACTGTAATTTGTTTATTTTAAACTCACCTCTTGAGGTCTGCCTCCAGATACTGGATAATATTCTACTCTGAATCTGTCCACACTATGAGATGGGGGGACCCATGACACTCTAAAAGAACGAGGAGTGGGCTCCGATGTTCTTAAGTCAGAAGGGGCTTCCAGGTCACCTGTGTTAAAATTCAATAAGGAAATCATTCTAAAGATTGATCTATGCCATCAAAATAAAACAGAAACTTGCATATTTTTAGTTTACTGAAAACAATGTTGTCATAAAAATAGAAGGACTTTAGTGTGCATGAAGCATGTTAAGGCTGTTCTACAGAGTATTCCCTGGGAACAAGGAGTGCCATAAACACAGACTGCCTCAAGGTCAGGATAGGTAATGTAAGTAAGTGAGAGAAATTGTACAAAGGGGAAAGTTACGTCTGGCAGGGAGAAAATTAGGTGTGTGAGATAAAGAACAATTATCTTTGTACGCACTTTAAATGCTTTTCATGTGCTATATATATACCCAAAGAAAAGCAGTCTGTGACCATATCAATTTGGCCAGATCACTTCTGATGTATTCATTCATAAACACTTACAGACTGATTTGATCAAATCATGGTTTTGAATCCCCTTGTCACAGTAAAGTATTCCCAGCATTTCTATCAATGAATTTCCCTACTGTCCATCTTAGTACTCTACACATTAAATGGTTAGTTCATCTTTTCCAAAAAAAAAAACTATATAGGTAAGGGGAGAAAGTAGATAAAAACAATAGTGAGAGAGAGCATGAGAGGGCTTTGAACTGGCTGGGCGTGTCTTAGCAACATCCTAGCAATAAGGTTGGGTAGGATGACGCCATCTTGATGCCATCTCTGGAAGTTATTCTGCCAGAATTGGTAAGGACGTAAATGGCCTAAATCTATAGCAAGGGCATTTTTAAACTTTGGTCAAAGCTTCACATATTTTTTTTCTATACAGGTGCCTTTTACCTGCATAGGCAGTTTTTGGTAAAGGCGCACTAACCCTTTGAGCTCTGAAAAATAGGTCCCTTCCTTTAATTCCCATTTGTAAATTACTACAGAATATTTCAGCACTTCAGATATAACCACTGATAATCAGGAAAGAAATGGAAACCTTTGGCTTTTGGGGAGGAAGCACAGAATCAACTAGCCATTTTAAGTTAGGGGGAAATAATCAAAGGTGGGGATTTTCAAAAGACATGGTTTATTGTGACAAACAGTTTTACATCATCCTGCATCAGCTTCCTTTGTGGTGCTCAGCATTCATTCATATCTTAGAGCCACCAACAAAGTTGTTGGTTGAAGACTTACCTCTACCAGATGCTGCGATCACAAGTCAGGGAGTAGTAAGCTATATAATGCCCACCATGTGTCCCTGACTGTGATCCCACTTTCAAAGATCTCTGGATGGTGAAGTAGCTCCATGCAGAGTCATTAGATCTTGTCCTCCCAGCCCACTCATACCCTCCTGATATGAGGACAAGATAATTCATATACAATGCATCATATTGTGGTTAAAATGATTATAGGGCAAATATTTTTTAATAACAATTATGTTATACTTACCTGCTCTGTGCAATGGTTTTGCACAGAGTAGCCCCGACCCTCTTTTTTTGGGTCTCCTGCTGGCAGTCCTGGCCTATCCCCCTGCCGAGAGCCCCCAATAGCAAGTCATGCGAGTACTCATGCAGGCTTGCTCCCGAGTTATTATTATTATTATTATATACAGTATTTATAAAGCGCCAATAGTTTGCTCAGCGCTGTACATTACAGAGGGGAACAGAACATGTGACAGAACAATACCAATACAATGCAAAACATGAGGGGATCGAGGGCCCTGCTCTTTCGAGCTTACAATCTAGGAGGGAGGGGATGGTGGCACAGGAGGAGATAGCTGTGGGGGATGGTAGGAAGAGTGGAGGAGGTAGGCAAGTTAGCAGGGGGCGGGGTAGGCTTCCCTGAAGAGATGGGTTTTCAGGGTGCGCCTAAAGGAGAGAAGAGTAGGTGATAATCTGATGGGTTGGGGCAGGGAGTCCCAGAGGATGGGTGACACCCTGGAGAAGTCCTGGAGGCGGGCATGGGAGGAGGAGACCAGGGAACTAGAGAGAAGGAGGTCTTGTGAGGAGCGGAGTGTGCATGCTGGGCGGTACTTGGATATTAGGTCAGTGATGTAGTTCGGGGCAGTATGGTGGACAGCTTTGTACGTCAGCGTTAGGATTTTGAATTTGATCCGTTGCGCAAGTTGTGCTCTATATGTCCATTCATACATACAGAGCGCAGAAGGGCTGTGTAAATCTCAGGAGTGGATAGACAAAACACAAATCATTCAGTAAGTAAAAGAGATACCATATATCCATATTGGCAGTGGATTTTGCTATTTGCCTGGTGTTTACCATTCAATTAATTTGGAATCGAAGAAAAAAGTGTTCAATTAATTCCCACTGCAATTGATTCTATTACCTCTAATGTCACAGCTTATTAAAAAGGTACAACTCACCTCCGCCACCCTTGACACTGTTACACAAATTATTTGTGAGAGGATCAACGATGTTGGTGAGCAGATTGAAGTCTTGGACATTGAACACATAAACATCATCTGGATCCGTAGCAATTTCCTTCAGTTCATTTTCATCTGCATTTTTAATACCTAAAAGCAGAATAAAATCAACTATTTAGAACAGCTTTGAATGGCACAATGAAACATTGCATTATACATAATAAATCATCTATACAGATAAAGAATGTGGTAAGTCAAAAATAGAAATAAAAAAAGGAAACTACTTAGTCTACTTCTCTAGAAGCCAGTATATTTATCTATTCATGTCCTGTATAAAGGTTGAGAACCCATTATAAATCCTGATTAAATTTACTTTACCAGTGAAAAACCTTCTTAGCCATTAATTCGATTAATAATTTCCTCTAGTTGCCTTTCTCTTTTTTTTTCAAGATTAAGTACATTTACAAACTGACACCAAACTGTATACTGAGGATAAGGCCTCACATTTCTTGTATACAGGGACCAAACAGTGTTTTTCCCTCTCAACCACTTGCCTACCGGGCACTTATACCCCCTTCTTGCCCCGGCCAATTTTCAGCGCTGTCGCACTTTGAATGACAATTACACAGTCATGCAATACTGTACCCATATGACATTTTTAGCATTTTTTTCACACAAATAGAGCTTTCTTTTGGTATATTCAATCACCACTGGGTTTTTTATTTTTTGAACTATAAACAAAAAAAAAGAGCAAAACATTTGAAAAAAGGTTTTCTGTGTTTCTATTATAAAAATTTGCAAAAAGGTACATTTTCTCCTTCACTGATCTGCGTTGTTGAGGCTGCACTGATAGGCAGTGCTGATGGGCACTGATGAGGTGGCACTGATAGGCAGCACTGATAGACACTGATAGGTGGGAATGATGAGCACTGATATGCGGTATTGATGTGCACTGATGGGCAATAACTGGCGGCACTGACTGGTGGCACTGACTGATAGCACTGACTGATGGCACTGACTGGTGGCACTGATGGGTGGCACTGATGGGCGGTACTAAAGGGCCCTAATGGGTGGCACTGATGAGTGGCACTGATGGTCACCACTGTTAGGCACTTTCGGGGCTGCACTGATATGCAATCAATATGACGCCCTCCCAGAACTGGACAACCACGCTGTAGCTGTCATTCGGCTATAGCCCGGTTGTCAAGTGGCTAAAGAGTAATTAAACCCACATCATTAAAAACTATCATTAAATGCTATATCACATGCTGTTTATATTCACTTATTCACTGTGGGATTCATTTTCTGTATTCTGTATAAAACCTGGTCGATCCTGCAGTTCTCTGTCTCCCCCTTCTGTCCATGTCCCCAATGCAGTTGAGGATTTTGCACAGCAATGTAGGCAGCTAGTGCACAAGCTAAGTTTTCAGTGTGCTTTTATGCTGAGCATTTCCTCCCTATCACATCTGAGTAGCCCATGTGACTATAGAGTCACACATGTGGGCGTATACACAGTGGTAAATGACAGCCCACTTCCTCCCTCCTCCTCCTCCATGTCCACTAACCAGTTAAACACAATGGGGGTGACATTTTAACATTTTGATTGATTGATGCTTCACTTCTCTGTTATTCCAAGGCACAGGCTGGAGGGGCGTGACACACATCATGTTTTTGGCAAAAAAATAATAAAGTAGTGATTTCAAATGTATATTTGTATGACAAGTAAAATAGTTTATTGATATTTATTAACTATTTTACTCTGTAATCCAAAAGCTTTTATTTTTAACATGTGACCAGCAGCAGAGGACTAGAAGCTCCTCCTGCTTATGTTTTTCCAGCAGACAGGCTGGGGAATAGCTGGGTCATGTGAAAGCTGTATATCAATTAGGAAAAGGGTATAATCCACATACAGAAAGAGAAGAGATAATGTAAATTAATTACTGTGTGTTAAGCTTAAATCACTGACTGGCCATGATATGAATCATCTATGGGCAGGCTGGTTGTACTGAAGCTGATCCATTGATCAATGTCAGTACAATCAGCCTGTCTGACTTTTTTCATGTAATCACTGCCATAGCGTCAGCAGTGATCATTGTTTTCTGCCAGCAGGGAAGGCTTCCTGTGTTCCCCATGCTCCCTACCAGCAGAACACAATAGCACTGCAGGGGAATTTCACTATCAACACTCACTGTGTTGATGAGGGAATTGAGCAATTTTCCTTTCTTTCTATCCCACAGAGTGGCATTACATAACTGCATTGTGTCTATGGACAAGGATATTTAAAGCTTTCTCTCTAAATCAGCCAATCTACCCTGTAGCCCCCCATATGCATTTACACCTTTTTCAACAAAAAGTAAACCTTTATATGTATATTGATGTTTACCAGACATTTGACTTAGAATGAATGTTTTGCTTTCAAAGAAGATATATTCCAGTTGAAAGTAGTCACTATAGGTAGATATCAAACCTCCTGATTATTTCAGTAGATTATAATTCCAAATTGGCATATGAAAAGACCTTAATGGTTAACTTTTAAAATCACAATAAACATTTTTGCTAATAGAAGGTAGGAAAGCTGGCCAATAAAAAAACATTTTGGCCTCTGGCAACCCACTCTCTATTAGTCATTTTAATAAACATATGCCATATTCAGGTTTAGGGGTAACAGCCACTAGCTGTATATTGTTTTATCTAAAAGTGAAAAAAAAAACATCTAAAGCATGTAATCCACCCACATTTTCCTTTAGAGTTTCCTTAATACTGCACTGTTTACCTTTAGTGTTCAATGCAGATAGCCTGTGCAATTAAATAGTTTACTTTTATTACTATGAAACATCTATTCCATAGCTATGCTCTGATTTGTGCGTAGTTAAATATCATCTGTTGGGCAGAAGGCTGGCAGTATACCTAGATACCCCAGGCAATGAGCCAGCTGCATGATGATGATCTGAGGCTAGAGGAAATCTGGCCATCCAAAACATCTTGCAATAAAAAATGTTTCCAGTGCACTCATACTTTGCCAGTAACAGAACTATGTAGCAAAAATCATAATATACTCCGGATTCTTTAATACTTTACCCTCTTTGCTATATTACAGATTACAATTTGCACTAAGCAATAGTATAGGCAATCTTTTATGGAAGACACCTGGTAATAAACCATTTCTATGGAGACGTAGAACAAGCAAGCAGATTGTTTTCCTATCCAGAACTTCTACCAAGTGATAAATAATCATTCATGCACAAACAACGATACAACAATACATGCTAGGAGAACAGTTGGTGTTGTCAAAGGTGAAGAAGTATCTGGGTGTTCTGGGAGGTCATAGATTAAAAAAATAGCATACAAGCCCAGGCTGCTGTTTCCAAAGTGAACAAAATCCTTTCTTGTATTAAGAGAGGTATAGATTCCAGAGAGAAAAACATAATTTGCCCTTTACAAATCATTAGTAAGATCTCATCTGGAATATGCAGTTCAGCTTTGGGTACTAGTTCACAAAAAGAACATTGGGGAACTGGAGAAAGTGCAGAGAAGGGCAACCAAACTGATAAGAGGCTTGGAGGAGCTCAACTATGAGAATTAGAGGAACTGAATGTATTCTCTCTTGCGAAGAGAAGATTAAGGAGAGATATGATCAACATGTAAAAATACATATAGTGAACTTGGTGTTGAATTAATCACTTTCAGGTCTTTACAAATCATTACAGAGGACAAGGGGCATTCTTTACATCTGCAGATAAGGAGATTTAACCAGTCTTTATTTTAAAAAGGCCTGGATTCTTTCCTAAATGCATAAAATATAACAGCATCCTGATATTTATAGGTAAAGTTGATCCAGGGAATCAGATTGCCTCCTTGGGGATCAGGAAGAAATTTTGTCCCCTGCTGTAGCATATTGGGTCATTCTTTACTGTGTATTTTGCCTTCCTCTGGATCAACTGTGGGTATAGGATTGTGTATATGGGGATGTATATAATTTTTCCCCTTCTGTTTGTTGAACTGGATTGATTGTGTCTTATTTTATCCAGACTAACTATGTTATTATGTAAACAAGCATGAATGTACTGTGTTTTATAACCTTCCTATTAGCATCCCATAAAGCTATCAGGTACAGCTCTGGGTAACTTAAATAAATGGCTATTGTTTGTGAATTCATGTTTATTGGTCAATGTCTACAGATATCAAGCAGAGCACTTCGTAGCAGAATTCATAAAAAAAAATAAAAATATGAATATATGAGAAATATTCCTAGTTATCTCCTTTTTTGGAGGAATTTTCTATTCAGCTACAGATGTCTGCTAACATAAGCCAATTTTATCCTAAAACAGGAGCAAACCATTTCCATGGTACAAATGAAAGAACACCTCTAAACACGAGACTGACAATAACAAATCAGCAAAGATCAGTGCAGTTTGTTAAACTGTAATCAAAAATGTTTGGCAAAGTAATGATTTATAACTGCTTTTAAAAGTAAAGTTAGCAGAAATGAAAAGGGATGAGGAAACTGGTTTAATGGATTGTGACAGGTTTCAATACAGAATTATAAATTCTGATTTTTATCAGACTATGAATGTCATTAAATACATACTGTATCACAATAAACTCCTGAAGGAAATCAATTATTTTTTCCTTTCATTTATTATCCCTATACACAGCAGAATACAGCGGGTTGTTGCAGTCAACTCTAAGAGCTGATTCACACATGTGTGGTGCGGATTGAAGCTCAGGTTTCACAGCTAGTTGATACAGTAGCTGTTCACAGGTTCACACCAGGTTTAAATCAGGTTCAGGACAGGATTAGCTCAGCATCTTATTCTGTTCACACATATGCAGTTTAGGAACGGTTCCTATAAAAGTCAATAGCCTGTAATCCGAACCTGAACCAGACCACGCTGCTTAGAAATCAGGCATGACTCTTTTTAAAACTGCACTGAATCCACACTGAATCTGCACTGGCCATGCACCAGACATATGTGAACAGGCACCATAGGAAGCAATGTTATTTCACATGTCATGGGGATTGGATGTGGTTCAAACCACATCCAATCTGCATACATGTGAACGGGCACTAAGAAGTAGCAACAGAATAGACATGGTACATGTATGGTGAATTTACGCTGCTGTATATACTACTGTCTTCCCTCTCAGTACTATAGAATTACTTTTTTGCTCATGGGCTTTAATTTTAAGTAGTTCTATTTAGGAAAATTAGTTACCTGCTACAAGGACAATAGAAAGTGAGTATAGTCACTGGCAGGGTTTAAAACGCTTTGTATGCAGTATAAAAGTCCTAACCCCTAACAATCTGCTTTTCTCTACAACTCTTTCTGCAGCCACTTTAACATATGACATATATTTGGAATTAATCATAAAATGAATAATACATGGTAATTATATGTGATTGATTACTTTAGATCAGTACATGAGGTTTCAGAGTTTTTTTCTGTCACTTACCTATAGCATACAGTTCTATTCCTTGGTCTCGTATGCTTTTTGATGGTATAACAATGTCATCTTGTGATTTTCCATCAGTGATAAGTACCCCAATTTTGCGAGATTTGGGTCTCATTCCAACCTCAGGCTTAAAATTATTTTGTAAGATGAAATTCAGAGCCAGGCCTAATGAAACACATTTAATATCATAAACAATGAGCTCATGAGTGACATAATGCAAATAAAGTTACTAAATAAAGATACTTGTGCCAAATTAAGCAATAATATATTTTACCTGTAAGAGTATTGCCCCCCTTGTAAGGCAATCTAGCAACAGCATCCAACAAAGAACTCTTAGTGGGGTGAGCATTAAGCTGCCATTCAGTTCTGGGATCTCCACTGTACTGAGCAAGTGCTAACAGGGAAAACAAAATTAGAATTACATGTAATTTCATGTATGAAAAAGGCAAAAACATACTTATGGAACTGTTTCAATATCATATTAAAAAGCAAAGGATATTTGTTAAAAAATACAGTGAACCTATATATTTAGATTAGGAAATATAATAGTCTTATAAAACAGACAATGATTTTAGAATGTAATCAGGATGAGTTACTGAAGGGCAGAGAATATTCATCTTGCAATAAAACCCACTGCTGAATGTTCACTCGATATTGACTTGATACTATTTCAGATGAACTTAGATTCACCTTATTCACAAAGTTAGGGGAATGAGGTTTACTTCTTTAGTAATTAAACCCCAATAACGATACCATATACATTTTACTACAGTCTAAACCTTATTATATTTACTTGCATTACTTACCAATCTGTACTCGCTCAGGGCCAATCTCAAAGACTTCAACCAATCGTGAGATGAAAGTCCTTACTGTCCTGAAGTTTGGACGGCCAATACTCCAAGAACCATCCACCAGCAAAACTATGTCTGCAGCAGCATTAGTTTTGCATTCCAGACCTGTTACATTGATTATGGAAAAGGTTAGTAAAGTATAAGAGCACAATTCCAGTTTACCAACCAACAGATAAAACTAAGGTTACATAAAAGGAGAAACATTTAAAAGCGTGTTGATGGTAAAAAGGAAAGATACAGTGGAACAAGAAGAAGACAAGGACATCCACCAGATGGACAACCCACCACAATCACATTAAAACATAAAAAGAATGACATGAAACATTATATACGGCAAATGCATTCTCCATCTTGAACACATTGATCCTGTGGCAAACTGTGCAGCGTTTGGGGCAGCAATTTCATTTAGGAAACCAATGCCACAATGATAACTTGAGACACAGAGTTATTTCATGTACGCCTTTGACATAGGATCCAAAGAGAGTATAATAAACGTATAAAAGTAAGTTCTCTTCTCCTTAATAATAACCTAAACTTTAGCAACAGAACAGAAATAAGTTACAAAGGTTACACACATACACCAAATAAAAATTATACTGTATATTCAGCACGATGCAAAGTGTAAACACAACAGGCTTCACTAGTAGTTTTGTAGACTTATGTTTAACTTGCAAAGATAAAGTAACAGGAATGTTACAACGTTAAGGAGATACAGTGTGTTGTTAACAAACTTTAGTTGTTGATATCACTTGAGCCAACAAAATCCACATACTGTACATTCTGTTCAGAGCATTTTCTGACATCGGTTCCTGAAGTACAGGTCTCCTAAACATGTAAGGTATGCCAAAATCAATAAATAATTTGTTGCTTTACTGCTCCTATTATGACCTAACTACAGAAAAACAGTTCAAAAGTCATAGGGTTCAAATCATGTAATAAATTACATATATGGAAAAAAGACATGACTGCACTCAATGGATTGCTTCCGTTAAAACAATATTTAGGTCTTTTCCATAAATTTGACATTGAAGGAAACCTGTGCTGAAAGAAATATTTTGGTTGCCATTGCTAAATTTCTTCTGAATTTTTTGTTTACTCACTTTAATGCTGAGCCTCTGAATGTATTACTTGCCAAATCGTTGACCCTCACACTGAAGCCAAACCTCCTCATCTGTGTATTTGTTCTGAGTTGCTGGAATTGATTTTCTAAAACCAAATATGCTGTCTACTTTGCAAGGGAATTACACTTTGCTGGGGCGTTTTCACTTAGTTTAGTGAATGTGATGAAAATTTTGTTTGCAAAGAATATCCAATCACAAGAAAGGAAAAGGTATAAAAAATGAATTTTGGCTTACACACGATTGGATGATGGAAATCAGCAGAGCCTCACTTCATTCACTAAGCTAAAGGAAAATTCAGTTGAAAAGAAAAAAAGCCTTTTTCCCTTTAGTACATCAGCCCTACTGACTCAAAGGTATTTGAAGCCATATGATAACATGACAGGTAGGGAATTGGCAATGGTGGAGAGGAATAGCAATGGATGCCTATGCAATTTCTCAAGACAGGTTCCTTTAAGGCAAATCTAATCTATGTGAAGCAAGTCATGGTACAGTGCAAACTAACTTGATGTTGAAATAATTGTTTCTTTTAAACTCATGCTGTTGCTGTAAAAAGTCAGCAATAAAACATCAGAGGTTTTGGTGCGTATTACTAAAATCCCTTACACTTGCTGTAAGCTGCAAAAAATCCGCTCAGTCAGAACTCTTCATTATGCACTATGTTGTGCTGTTGCAGAGAACTCTTAAACTTACTAGAACACTGGGTGACTTATATTTCACTGTAGAATTAATCCATACATTGACAGACAGTACAAATATATTACTGTCTATTTCTAAACTGCTGCAACATCACACTTTTCTAAGTTTCTATTACTTTTTTGTAATTCAAATAATGTTTTCTTGTCATCACTTGGTAATTTCCAAATTTGATATATAATTGTATGCATCATAAGCTTTTAATGCCTAGGTCTTTGTTAGATTTCAGTGCAAAAGTCTAATTTTGCCAAGCTGATACTTCTGACATCTGATAAGGAAAGCATAGCCCTTTATCAGTTAAATTAGTATCCAGAAAGATGCCAGGAGGTAGGTTTGGATTAGTGTTATAGTCAAAATTAATGGAATAAGGTCAAATCCTAAGTACAGCCAAAATAAAAAACTGAAAAATCAATACAAAGGGACATAACTTACAGGCAGTAGGATGTGTCCCTTTTGCTGATGCCTTTTCTTTTAGTTGAAATTCTCCTCCTGGTGCAGCAGGGGTAATACAACTAAGGGGCTGTAACAGGTGCTCATCAAGAGTGCCCAAGTATGCCTGCCCTTTCCCCTCAGCTCCTCCATTTATAGAAGCCATACTATTATGAATGAAACAGGACCTAGGAATGGAGGACGAGTATATGATTGAAAGGCCCAAAGGATTTCATCTAATAGAAGAGGCATCAGCACATCCTACTAACTGTAAGTTATGTCCTTTGTAACTGATTTTTGTTTTTTGTTTTTTTTTTTTTAATTTTGGCTGCACTTAGGCTTCAAAGCTTAGTGTTATGATTATGGCTAGAGTTTAGTGAATACTTACTGATTACTGATAGGTTAAAGTGCATGTACAAGCAAAACCTATTTTTAGTTTTGGAAAGAGTAGGGAAGGGCTAACACCTCTCAATTGTTTTTCTGTCTATGTCCCACTGAGGAGATTACCATTCACTTCCTGCCTTTGAAATGCTACAGGAAATGAAAGGAAAAGGCAATAGGGGACAATGGGGCCCCTATGTCCTTGCAAACTCAAAAAAGCCTATGAAAAAGGTACCAGGGGCATTTCATGGGGCCTCCTACCGACCCCAGGCCCTCGGGCAGTGCCCGAGTTTCCAAATGGTCAGTCCGCCCCTGGTTGTCACTGTAATATTTGTCCTAGTTAGAAGATTTCTGCTCACTTCTTGCTCTGGTGACAACTCTAAAATGTACTTTACCAAGTTCTTCTCTGTCTCACTGACAATGGTCATTGGGACAAACAGAAAGGTGCATCTTAATAACTGGGACACGTTAGCAATGAACACTTGATCCCACTCTATCCAAATTTAAAAAAAAAATGTTTTGCCTTAAAATGCACAATAACTTTTTAGGGTTCAGATTAAAGAGTATGTAAAGATAAAACTTTTTTTTTTAAATTTTGGTCAGAATGGGAAATGCTTAGATCATCTATCAAATTTATATTGCCATCTGTATCCCAGCAGGAAATGTACCCTCTCTATTTGTCCTGGGTACTGTTCATCCATTAGGAAGATTTCTTAATATTTCCTGTCCTGGTGACCACTGCTTAGACAAGAAGTGAGGGGAATATTCCCACAGCTGATCCAGTAAAAAAAAAAATTTATAGAATTTCTAACCATTACTAAATCTGTCAAAAATGTGTTTTTATTGCTGGATGTAGCTTTAATGGAGATATGCATACAGCCACTCTCTGTTAAGGAATAATGCCTGTAAGAAAATTAAGAGAGGTTTTACCTCTTCCCCACTATATAAAGAAAAGTTCAGGCTGGAGTACTACTTGTACAAGTTTAAAGTGATAGAGTGAAGTGTTCAAGTAAGGTTAAAATGACACTAAACACTGGTGTAAAAAATATATTCTATTCAAGTATGTACTCTTAACTCAAAAAGTACCTTTTTTTGCTCTCAGACTCCTCCAAATCTCCAAATTCTTTTGTCTTTGCTGCTTTGATTCAACTCTCTGTTAGAGGGAGGCTACATTCATTTTCCATGGTTCCACTGTAAATAGGAATGTAGCCCCCTCTCTTTCTTGCTCCCAAGATAGACTAGGGACTACGGAATGTGGAATTTGTAGTGTACATAGAGCAGCACACATAACTAATGTGCACTGTTCGTTTCCAAAAAGTACATACAGAAGTGATGGAAAAAAGCATATGTTCAGGGGCTCACAGAGGATGTTGCAAGGAAGCAGAAAAACACAGTAAAAAATGATTTCATGAAAAAATAGATTACAGGGCCATTAAGCAGTGAATGCATATGGATTAATAACTACTTGGCACCGAGCACATGCAAATATTTGGCCTCTTGTTGGCTGGACCTTGGCACCGAGGAGCCTCATATTTGTGTACCTAATGTAAACAAAAGATGTGTCGAGAGCTCACCCTGCGTGCTTCTGGCACATTTATCAGTCCATCATGGAAAGATCCCAATTGCTACTTGCGCTCAGGAGCTTTCAGATCATGTGACCACTGTGACAGCCAATTATGCCGATCACATGACCCCAAACCCCGCCCCACAGTGGCACAAACCCCTTCAAGGGCCAGGAGGTGCTGGTGCCAAGGGGTTTAAAAAAAATATAGTTTAGTGTCATGCTAAGTACTAAGTGTTAAGGTTATGATAACAGTTACATGTTATATTTCACATGAAAATGAAGTCTTTCGTATTTAAAATTCCATGCTAAAACCAAATTATACTTTATGCAGACTATTACAGCTATTTAAAGCCACAGAAGTCCACTATGTATACCTTTAATACACAAACATGCTAAAAAATGTAGACTCCCTCAAATGCAGCCCGGACCAAAGCTTCTGCTGAGCTGGTTCTACAGTTAACATTCCTGTATTATGTCTATATTATATAGCATGAAGATCTCTAGGATGACCATTTACCAACTGTTCCAACAGCTTCTACAGACTCTTGTGGATTGCAATGCTGAGATTTACCCCATGGTAGTTTGTGTCCTCCTCTCAAAGTTTGTAAAATTATGTCAATCTCTTACAGCTGCTTCCTCCCCCCTCCCTTCCCCCTCCCAAATTGTTAAGTTTTTACATTATAAATAGTACAATTATTAAGTATGAAACCATCATTTTGCTTTGTAATGGGTGCCTTGCTTGATTAAAACTGCAAATCGTGGTTCAGAAATCTCACAAATAGTGTTCCTGAGAGATACATTAATCAAGCATGAGATTAAACTTGCCAACAAAAATGTACAAAACTGAATTACCCATTAAATATTATGTATTGTTATGGACCTGAATTCCTTATCTTGATTATGATTCAGTATTATATCCTAACAATTGCAGATCTGGAAGCCTATTTATAATATTGTGGGAGAATCCTCTGACTAGCTAGATTCAGATCATCCCTATTCTCATTCATATTTTCTGGTAACATTCCTGGTTCTGTGGTGATCATGTACCAAGCATTCAGTGTATCCAATGATCCCTACAAAAGTGTTGATAACCTCAGGAAGTAATGTCATTAACCCACATCAGTATAGCAGAAGCTAATCAACAAATCTCTATGGCTGTGAGCATTGGTGGACCTTTAGAAATCCACATAATGAATAGGTGGTTGAAATGCGGAAGATGATAACTTTGGCCTTCTATAAACAGGTCCCTTTGTTATGTTGATATGCTCCCCCTAATTTTGTTGCAATGCTCTGTATTTATCAGAAGCATGGAAAATCATGATTACATACTATGGTTTTTTTTTTTATGGCATTGTAGATGTGAATTTACTCTACAAGTTCACCATAAAGGCCTGTGTCAATGGATTTTTGTTCATATCAGATGGGTTTTGCATTCTCATACAAGTTAGCTGGAATGCAAAACCTGACTGAAGCAGGTAAGAAGGAACTCAACTGCAGGTCAAATGCACCTGTCCATTCATTCTGAATGATCTCGCAAGCATTTTAAACTGATGTCAAACTGATGCCATTGACACAAGCAAAAGCACTTTGACACAGGTCCTTACAACAATCACTTAGATTGTGGCAATTGACTCAACAAATAAAGTAGTGAAGTCAAAGTTCTTGGAATATAGGTAAGTTGTAAATAAATGTCTCTATAGATGTCTAAATGTAAAGCTTAGTATAGGCTAAACTATATTTTAAAATCATATTGACCATACCGCACTGGTAATACAAATGGGTTCAACTCTGTACTTATTGTATTCAATATATCTTTTTTCAGAGTTGAAATTCACTATGCCATTATCTCTTGTAAATTTACCAGTATCAACAGGGACATCAGGTGCATCTGACCGAGTTGTCATTTCTTCTCCAACCAAAGGTGCACTCTGTCCTTGATCAAACACTCCAAAAACATTGACCTTGTAAGATGTTGCTGCCCTGCACAGGGTAAAAAAGATTGAGGTATGTCACTTTACAATTTAATACCTATTACTGCATAGTTGCCCAAGTCCGAATTTATGAAGATACAGTTATTCAAGAAGGAGTTGCAGAAAACACAATTTCTGAAAAACACTAACAAGTTTAAGCATACTTAGTAACCTCAATTTTCTACATACGCTTTAAGGATACATTATTGTTTGCTTATTAGCAAACAAATATTTTAATATATGTGCCAAATGTATTCCACATATAACTGAATCAAAGCACATCGTTAAAGGCTAAGTTCACCTTTTGGGAGAAAAATAATAAATGTATATATTTCTGCAGAAAATAGAAAGGTGCATTTATTTTTTTTTCTTCCTTAGGAGCCTGGAAAACATTGCATTCATGATCAGTAGATCCCGGGTACAATGTCACGCTCTTGCAGACTCTCAGTATAGCTATCAGTCCATACCTTCCATGCAAGCAGACAGTTACTAAAGAGCAGGCAGATCAATGAACTGTGAGAGTGCTCGCCAGCACCCGTGCAGTTCATTGAGAATCGGCTGCAATGGCAGACGGTAGTTGTAGCTCATTAATTCACAGAACTTTGTAAATGAATGGTTACAGCTGTGTAGGCAGAGCCCCACACTGCCATGCTGTTTGTAAATTGAGATGGTGGGTGCAGGGAGAAGAACCCCTGCCTGCTGTCACAGGGTGAGGATCCGAGGGTGCAGGGGTGAACTGCTGGAGCATGTTACACATTACACCCTAAATACGGGTTTAACATGTAGCATGCTCCCAAAGGTGAACGTATCCCTTAATGTGAATGATGCTAGATATCCTGAGATATTAACATACTATGTTTTGATCCAGATAAGAAATATTTTGGCTCACTAACTGCAGGCAACATGTACAGATTATTTTACTAATTTGTATTTTAAAATATAGCAATGTGTTTATAAATGTATATCTTAAAGTAGATGTGAACCCAATCACTAAAATCCAATATAATATTTAACATGTTAATGTTAATTCAAATGTAATTTTTAAGCTTTTTAAACCTGAAGTCTTCATGAACATAATGATTGGTATCCCCATCATAAAAGTCCTTCCTGTCATGGAATGGCAATGCTCTGTCCCTGCCTTCCATTGTTCTTTTAAGCTGTCACCCTGTCACCATTAGGAAGCCCATCCGGGGCAATGATTTGAAGCTACCATTAGAACAAGGCTGGAGGAGGTCAGCATCAATAAGATGCAACTAAATAAAAAAAAGATGAAATTAGTATTTTCTTTAAAAAAGTACTAATAGATGTTTATGATATACAATATTTTAACAAATTAAATATCTTCCAGGTAGGGTTTACATCTACATTAAGATCATAACTGGCTTTATTTATAAGCTAGAGGTTTCACTTCGAAATCACACCAAAGAAATCAAGTTTTCTTACCTATGTCCGAATAATAACCTCTTTCAAATATCAGTATTAACTTTTATGTTTTAATTTGATTTATTGACCTACTAACATGACTGGTCCAGAAGGTGCCAAAAGTATGCAAAACCCATAAATGCTTTGTTGATGTTACAGCTGAAGAATCTAGATAATAGAAAAAAAACTAAAGCTATACCTTTTAGTGGCTATATAATAAAAATATGGTGGTCATGCAGTACATACTGTAAGACTTACAGTAGACAACATGTAGTGAAACCTGTTCTTCAGCAATTCAAATGCCACTGAAAATTACGACTAGAAAATCACTTTGTGAAGTAGTAAGTACTTCTATTACCTGGAATCACAGATCTCCTACATCTAAGTAATGTAATCAGTCACGTGAACTGGACTTAAAGTTTCCTTTTATTGGGCAGCTTACAGATTCATCAAGTGAAAGTTACAATTACTTTTCTTCACAGTGTTATGGAGGTATCTGGGCTAAGCATTAAAGAATAACAATGTCCTATTACTGTAAATGTGATTTCATTGTGAATGATTAAGTAGTTTAAAAATACTGCCAACTCTATATTGCAGAAGGTGTTGAAGGAATTATGTCAACCCTTATACACATTACTGAAAGGGATTAATGGTATGGAACAATATCTCATTGTTTTTCCTACCTGAGTTCTTCCAGTACCACCGTATTATCATAAGGACCAACCATCATTTCTCCCAATTGCCTTTCATCCCCTACAGGATAGAAAGTGATTTTGTATCCTTTTACTTCTCCTGGAGCAGGTTCCCAGGTCACTCGGAATGTTGACATTGTTGGATCAGATGTTTTCAGGTTCCTTGGTGATTTGTAAGGAGAAGCTAAAGATACAAAATAAAACTACTTAATAAAACATAAAGAAAAAATAATGTTGTACCTGAAATTGAAATATAGCTGATCTAAAAAACAAATGTATTTTATGGTTAAAAGTAGAATGAAATAACAAATTGACTGTACATTTGTGAAACTATTAATAAATGTGGGCAATGACAAATGTATCTAACTCAAACAAGTTAAGGCTACAGCAATAGAAATGTGTTAATTATCTATTAGGGTGGATCTTTTATATATTGGGTTAGACAGCAAAACTCCAAATGTGCCCACCACCATTAATTTTGTGGGTCAGATCTTGCACTTAAAACAGTCCAGATAAAGGCCCTGTTAAAATGTGCTATACTGCTGGAAATGCTGATATTTATATTATAATTTCTTTTATGCCTTTAAATTGAATAACAAAGCACAGATTTAATTTGTAATGTTTCAGGATATGCTGCAAATTGTGGTTATTGCCATTCAGATCTGGGTTTCTTTATCTCTACTTAACATACAGACACATAGTGAAGGTTTTGCAATAATTACACTTTTATTTCACCAAGTATGAGCTCCATATAGTATTTTTGATGGCTCCCAGCAAACCTGTACTGACAGAAATATAGGAGATTTTGACCCCCCTCATACTATACTAGTTGCCTGGTTTACCTACTTTCTGAGGGACTGAACCAGAATAAGCCTACAGAACAGGAAATTCACAGTAGGTGCATATTATCGCCAGCGCACAAAATATTGGCAGCCAGAATTTGCTTTGGTTGATCTAATAATAAACTCAGCACTATCAGATACACATTGACACAGCACAGCATTTTAATTAAAGAATGCATAGAGTATTTATGCTGTCCTAGAGAAAACCTAACAAAATATTCCATGGCAGAATTAGCAACTTATGTGGCCCAAGGGAAAATAAGATTTCCTGGCAATCATTCTATTGGCAACTGCACTGTCTGTGTTTCAACCTCTTTTATATACCATTATACACTCTGAAGACACCAGTTTCATTCCGGAAAGTACCATAGTTGCCATCACAGTTTCCATTGATTGTAAATAGCACATTTTATAGCCCCGGGGAACTAACCATTAAACTGCGTCCCAGACCTTTTCAACAAGAAGTGCTGATCATTGCAAAAAATATGGTCTACAGTCTCTTGCAGATTACCAAATCATTCTTTGTATATAATTTAAACTACAGTTAAAAAAATCACATCATCACATATGGATTCATTTAAACGGTGTCATAATAAGTAAGATATGTTGGGAGGTGAGAAGTTGTAATATTAAGCATGCAGGTCCCTTGAGGAACATGTTAAAACTTTTACAATGGTAAGTGTAAGATGATGGCTGCAGATATGTAAGAGTTAAAAATTGTAATATGGTTTTTAAACCTGAAAGGCTGAGCTGAAAACCAGATGTTGGGGATTCCTTCCAAAACTAATTCTTGAGCTGTCTATACATGGAGAGACTTGTATGACATTCCCACTGTGCACAGTGTGCAAATGGCTGCAGTAGGGGATCCTGGGATCCAGTATTATTATTTGAGGAGGTCAAGCTAATTGAAAATTTCTACAGATTCACACTTTTTGTGTTTTGTTTTTTAACTCTTTATACAGAGTGTATCCAGTACAAACTGAAAGAGCCATTAAAAGATATGGCAGAAAGTAATAGATATACAGCAGAACTCTGACCAGACTAAGGGCATTTAAATATTTACATATTCTTAACAAGCAGTAAATTAAGTTTGAAACGAGCCTTCAGTTATCTCTGCATCTACAGCCATATTGGAGCTATTAATCCTTAAATCTGTAACTGAACCTTCTCAGTTTACTTTCACTTGCTCTCCTAGTGACTTGGTAGCCTGCCAGTTATCTAAGTTTAAGGCCCCTTTCACATTGATCCAATGCATTTCTCCCACAGTGAGGGTGCAGTTTTCATGCAGGTTAGCTGCGCTTTGCCATAGCCTTCTTTTATGTCCCACGGTTTTGGTGACCTTTCAGAAATTTCACTAAAACTCCTGCATTGCATGCAGGACTTTTAGTACTCTTTCAGAAAGGGCACCAAAACTGCCTGACATAATAGAAGTCTATGGCAAAGTGGAGCTAACCCACACGAAAACCACGGGTACACTGCACTGCACCCGCGCTGCGGGAGAAGCACAGTGGATCATTGTGAAAGGGGCCTTACTGTAAACACAGAGCAGGTGCACAGTAATGAGAGAGCGAAAAGTGCTAATATGAGAATTTAAATACTTTACTGCTTTTACTGTGAGCTTTAAAGGAGAAGTAGGGCAAAATATATTTTGGCCCTACTTCTCCTGTGGGTCACAGGATTGTTACTTTGCTCATTACTCCTGCGACCCGTATTCAGCTGACAATTGGCTAAAGTTTTATGACAGCTGACATAGCTCAGCTGGTCTAGACTCTGGAGAAATTCTGACTTTAATATCATGATGTACCCAGATGCCTGGACCGGCCGCTGGCTCAGCCTCTCGGTGAGTCACTGAGACCCTGAGCCAACCGCTCCCAACCTCTCCACAGGCCAGCGCTCCGGTAAGCACTGGAGGGGCAGAGCAGAGAGCTGGTGACTGACAGTCATTGGCTCTCTGGTCTTTGAAGACCAAGAACAGAGTGATCAGTGGTCTTCGATCACTCAGTTCTCAGTCTTAGAGGTGGTGGGGGGCAGATGCAGCATCAGACCAATGCTACAATCACCTAGGTGAGAATGATTGTTTGTTTTGTTCAATCCCAAACAACTCTTTTAAGGATAAAATGCTTCACAGTAAATACAGATCTTTAGTCAGATCTTATTTTTAAGCTTATTCACTGCTTGTTAAGGATATGTGAATATCTGAATGTCCATAGCCTGGCAACAGTTCTACTTTAGGTTTATTAGTTTATGTTTATTTTTTATACAGAAAACCAACCTAGTATCAGCTTCTGTTAAGCTATACCCATACATATAATCAGTGTATTCCACATATGGTCATAAATCTCCTATCTGCATTTTGAGCTAACCTGAATTCGGCAAGAGAGAGAAGCCCCAATATAATATAATGTCACAATATAGGTGCCATTATTAATTCCCTCAGTAGTCCCTTGTGCCAAGAGGAAGCACATCCTCAATTAATGTCCCACTCTCTTGTGCCAAATGTTCTCAGCTTTAATCAATGCATCCCCTCCACCCTCATCCTGCCAAATGTCCCCAAATTCAATTAAATATGTTCCCTCCACTGTCATCCTGCTTTGTAGCCCAAATTCAATTAGCGTATCTCCCTTCCTGGCATCCTGCTTTATCTCCCTAAAATGCAGCTTAGTGTCTCCACCACTGTCGCCCCTGCCAGCTGCGATAGCGAGATTCACATCTCTCCGCGGAGAGGTGCGAACCTCCTGCGGGGATGTTCCGGGCCAGGGCGTCAGACTGACGCCACCCGGCCCTGTCATCCGCAGCGCGGGCATGGAGAGATGTCCCTGGAGAAAGGTCGTGCTCACGAGAAGCGCAGCCCGTGTCCAGGGGGCGTGCCTCGTTGCCCGCATCCAGTTGCCAGGACGAATGGAGAGCATCCTGCATCAGCTTAAGAAGGCTGATGCCGGGCTCCCCAATCATCCATTCTGCTGTGCAGTCATGGAGGGAGCCCAGCTGCAGCAGGACCCTCGTGAGCAGACTCTGCCCAAAGACCCCAGCCTAAAGGGGGAGATTTCCACGCCAGCCTGAGACCCCCAGCCCGAAGGGGGAGACCGCACATGCCAGCCTGAGACCCCCAGCCCAAAGGGGGGAGATCGCACATGCCAGCCTGAGACCCCTAGCCAGAGGGGGAGATCGCACATGCCAGCCTGAGACCCCCAGCCGAAGGGGGGAAATTGCACACGCCAGCCTGAGACCCCCAGCCAAAGAGGGGAGATTGAACAAGCCAGCCTGAGACCCCAGCCAAAGAGGGTAGATCGCACACGCCAGCCTGAGACCTCCAGCCCAAAAGGGGAGACCGCACGTCAGTCCTGCCTGAGACCCCCAGCCTAAAGGGAGAGACCCCACGCATACTCCGGATTCCCGCAGGTACCTGTGTCACACTAGCTTATCCCTTGGGAGACTGGGCACCCTGTTGGATCCGTGAGTACCTACTTCCCCTGTTTTGGCTGAACTGTCCCTGAATTGCTCCTCTACCTCCCTGTGGGATTACAACTGCTGCAGAGACTTTAAATTGGCCCCTGGGGCTGGACTACAAGTGTTTTAGCCCCTCCTTGCTGTTCCCCTAGTGGCAAGGGCACCCTCCTTGCAATTCCCCTATTGAGTGGCTGTCATTTTACCTCAATAAAGCTTTGTCTGTTTGCTATCCGCCTTGTGTGTTCTGTCCTGCCTACCCACCGTCACATACAATATATGCAAAGCAACTTCAGATGGTTTAATCTTTGCTTTATTTTCGATATTAAGAAAGACATTTGATTGTGGGTTTAATTGCTGAGTCTAGCCAAACACCCACAAAGGAGCAGAAAATATAAACCTCACAAACACAAATTTACTAACAAACGTTACTACCCTTGTTAAAATCTTACCAGTTGTTCCTTCTCCTTGTCTTGCTTTTCCATCTCCTGACTTGTAAACTGGGACAACAGTTATATCATAGGTAGTTAAAGGTTGAAGCCTTCTTAATACTGTTGTAGTGGCTGAGCCAGGCAATTTAGCAACAATTTGCCTTCCTCCTGCTTTTGGCCGATAGATCACTCGATAATTCACAACATTTCCTGGAGCAGGCTGCCATGTAACTTTCATGGTAGTTTCTGTTTCATCGCTGACGGTAAGAGTCTTTGCATTTGGTGACACTGTGACAAGGAACATAATATATTTGGTATGAATTATTTTTGTTACTTGCTCACTCATATATAACATTAAAAGTTTTCAGGTTTGCTTTGAACATGTCCATAAATCAAAATTATATGCAAAATATATTGGTAGAGCATTTGGACATAGACGTTTGAAGACAACTTAGCTCGCTTTCAGAAAAATACTGGCCTTGTAGCTATTACCCATGGCTCCTCCTAAGGAGAATGTATTAAGGAGATTCCTTTTCCCACTGTACCGCTTCTGTGCCGCCCTATAGCAGAAATACTGCTACAGGGCGGCACAGCTGTGCAAACTCACCTAAATATACGTGATTTTGCATTTCCCGGTAGGGAGCGTGCGTGATAGCCATTCACAGCCTCGGCTGTCAATCACCGGGTCCTGACCGATTCCCCACTGGCACCCAGCTATCGGCGAGTATCACCAATGGGGGAGAGACCTGTGTATAAACAACACAGATCTCTCCCCTGTCATCTCCTGCACACTTCTTTGTATGGCTCTGCATAGCACAAAAGCAGTGTGCTTATATTGTAAAGGACACAGACAGCACACAGTAAAACAGCACACAGCACACAGTTAACCCTTTGATCACCCCAAATGTTAAACCCTTCCTGCGCAGTGCCATTAGTACAGAGTCAGTACATTTTATTAGCACTGATCACTGTATTGGTGTCAATTTTCACCCAGGATTCCCAAATGTTTCCAATTGAATCCAACTTGAAAAATGTAGTAATCTTGGTTGAAAGCTATGAGAATTTTGTGAAAATGGTTATAAATAGAACTGTATTTAGCATCTTTATTATGTTTAGATCACACATATTGTATATGCTGCATACACAATATGCTATGTGCATACGCAGGCAGACTAATACGTATCTAGGCAATTTGTTCTAGAGCAGCTCACAAATTGACATCTTTTACTGTGGCTGAGTGACAGGTGCACTTCAGAAAATATATTCAATTAGAAACCTAAAATGTTGAATTCCGCATTTATGTAGGGCTACAGGCTACTTTTCTGCTTTATTCTTCAGTTTCAGCCCAATGTTTTTATGCTAGACCAGATAAATAATGGAATTAGTCTTCTTCACCAAAAAGATTAAAGACAACATCCACATGCTTTGCACATGTTTTCAGATCAGAAAAAAATGCCTGGGAAATCTTTCAACAGATGTGTCTTTAGAGAATTTCCTGAAATTCCGGAGATTTTATGTAAAAAATAATGCATATCTACATACAAATGTATAAGTGTAACATAGTCAAGTCTAAGCGTGATGGTTATGTGATGCAATTGGAACAGCTGCAGTGATCCTGCCATTAGGCTTGGACCATAAGAAAACTTGGTTGAGCTTTATTTCTCACGGTACATTCTGAGAAAAGATGATCCCCCACCAGAGCTGCTGGTCTCCAATTACTAAATTTGACTGTTCAGGGTGAAATACCTTACATGTCTTTTTGAATGGTAATCTTCAGAGTAATATAACATACAATATAATTTAATTGCAATACAAATTCCCCACATACTGTATCTATGGCATAATCACCATATTTACTAAACAGTTTTTCTTTAAGATGCTATTTTTTAATTTCTAAGTGCAAAAACCAATAGCAATCAATCAGTTGCTGAACTCAGACTAGTATCCAATCAATTCTGTTTTGTTGCTATTGATGAATGCACTTAGAGCTCTGAGTAGGGTCGAAGCAAGTGTAAATATGCACATTACAGTTACCTCAAAGTGTTACTAAACCCCGGACCCTGCATTCACTATATCTGGTCTCCCACAGGACACACAACATGGAAGTGCAATTTTAGTAAATATAAACTTCTAAATACCTTTTTTCATCAGCAGTTAGAGCAGTCTTGTGACTTCATCAGAGCACTGGTTAAAGCTAGTAGGAGGAGTTTTCTTTCTGCTCTAGGGGGACGCAAAACCTCTGACCTCTGTCTAGACAGTGCTGATTGGCCCTGTACTGATCAAATACACTCTCCCAAGAAAAAAAAAACCTCTCTAGCAATACACACTAAACTGAGCATGTGCATGTGGCCAGGGGCTCAATCTGTCTTATCAGCATGAACATTTGAACAAGAGGAGGGGCAGAGAAGTCAGGATCAAACAGCCTTTTTACACAATGCAGAAGATTAACCCCTTACATTCCACAGTGAGTATAATGAGCATGCTTTACTGAATATACAGACTGATTTTACTGTTGTGAGTTTAGTAACATTTTAACTCATCCAGTTAAGCAATATTGGCATCTGATGTTCAGGAGATAGTACACCTCTGATCTTAGCACATCACTCTACAAACTGCCAACTGTCAGTGAAATCCCTATAGACTTTATGGGAACCAATAAAGAATACTGGCTGTCTGCTCTGTGCTGTGAGCAGAAGCATGTCTGTTCTCAAAATTTAGATTCAAATATCTCTGGATCACAGGCGTAAGTATATTACAATATTTATAATTAAAGTAGATGTCATCCCTAACTGAATGACATTTAGTTTGCTATAGTACTGTATGTCATATACTGTATAATTGCCATTTTTTTTTTCATAAATTACTATTTTACCCTTTATTCATCTTTTTTTATATCTCAATGCAAATCTTATCCAGACATTTTCAGAGTCTTCCTATCTAAAGGTTTGTTTTACTAAAGTTGAAGAGTGTCAAATCTAGTGCAGCTCTGCATAGAAACCAATCAGCTTCCAGTTTTTTTGTCAAAGCTTAATTGAACAAGCTGAAGTTAGAGGCTGATTGGCTACCATACACAGCTGCACTAGCTTTTTCCCTTCTCCGGTTTTAAGAAATCAACCCCCTTACATGCTTGCTGCAGCAGTGTCAGTTGTACATCATTGCTCTGCATTGGCTTCCTGATAGTGAGAGAAGTGGACAATGCCTACAGAATGTGTGTTGGCATGGTCACTTGTAGTCTCCACCAGGAGCACATTGTTTTTATTATACAGGATTTATATGGCGCTAATAGTTTGTGCAGTGCCTTACATGTGGCAAGAGCAAAATTGGGGGGGATCACTTGTCACCCCATAGAAAGAATCACCTGTACAAGGAACAATTCGTAACAATATTATCAGGTATTTTTTAATAAAAACTGCAGACTTAAAAAAAATTTAATTTGGTTAAAATGACTTTAACACGTAAAGATTATATGGGATTTGGGTTTATTGCCTAACTTAATGTTTACTGTGACTTTAAATAGTTTGTTTGTGCCAAGCTGGCCCAAACAGACTATTTCCTTCCCTAACAGATGTGCCTGCTCTACAAACTGTATCAGTATACAGTATATATCAGTATACAGCGCTGTTTTCCAACAGTAAACTGGGAACCTTCTGTCCCACTCCTAGAACAAAATCGAGTCGGGCTGATCAGCCATTCACAGGAAGCTTTGAATTTTATGAATGATTGGCTGAGGCAAAGATCGTGACATCATTCGCCTTCCTCTTTACCTCAGCCAATCAGGGGAAGCTTTGTACTCATTCATGTAATACAAAGCTTCCCGTGAATAGCTGAGCAGTACTCAGCCCAACTTGATTTTGTTCCAGGCGCTGGAAAGAAAGTCTCCATCCCACTGGGGGAACACACTGCTGATCAGCCATTCACGGGAAGCTTTGAATTTTATGAATGATTGGCTGAGGCAAAGATCATGACATCATCTACCTTCCTCTTTACCTCAGCCAATCAGAGGAAGCTTTGTACTCATTCATGTAATACAGAGCTTCCCGTGAATGGCTGAGCAGGACTCAGCCCAACTTGATTTTGTTCCAGGAGCTGGAAAGAAAGTCTCCATCCCACTGGGGGAACACACCGCTTTCTTCTATATGTAGCTGATGCTACATACAGTTTACACAGCACTCCCCGCAGGCACATCTGTTAGTGAATTCAGCCATTTGTTTGAGCCAGCTGGCCCATTTAACTATTTAAAGTCACAATACACATGGAGTTAGGCTTTAACGGGTAGGAAAACCGTGCTAATAAACTTCTCTCATCTGACTCGTTTGGTCTGTTAAATTCACCATCGTAAGCATTTTATTATATCTGTTTGAAAAGTGTGAAAAATACCTGTTGATATTGTCAGATATCTTGTCAGCTGAAAACTCCCTGTGATCTCTTCCTGTGCTGCACTGTTATAAATTGTAGTGTTTTGAGGACTAGATCACCCCCACCCATGTATGTTATGAACAAGCAGACAGGGGAGGTCCTGCAGTCTGTTGTCCCATTTCAGGAGCATTGTCATACTACTAGGACAGGAAGTGTGTTAATAGCAGAATAACCAGAAAAAAGAAAACAAATTCTGCCACCACACCTAAGGACTGGAAAGCTGCAATATACATATATTTTTTCTTAACTTCCATCTAGAATTCTATAGCCCCTTGTGTTGGCACCTCTCAGCCCTTTAAGAGGTTTGTAACGCCAGGAGGTGGGGTTCAGGCAGGGGCAGACTGACAACTCATGGGGCCCCCGGGCAATAGGGGATCATGGAGCCCCTGTGTCCTTGCCCAAACTCAAAAAAGCCTATGAAAAAGGTACCTGGGGCATCTCATGGGGCCCCCTACTGACCCCGGGCCCTCGGGCAGTGTCGAGTTTCCAAATTATCAGTCCACCCCTGGGTTCAGGATTATGTGAGCGCCATGATTTACTGTCACATTGGTCACGATTGGAAAGGTCACGATTGCAAGTAGTGATCAGGATCTTTCTGTGAGGCATTGGTAAATGTGCTGTGAGCAGGGGCGGACTGACCATTCGAGCAGTCAGGCACTGCCCGAGGGCCCAGGGTCAGTAGGGGGCCCCATGAATTGCCCCTGGTACCTTTCATAGGCTTTTTTGTGTGTGCTTTGAGTGTGGACAAGGACACAGGGGCCCCATGATCACCTATTGCCCGGGGGCCCCATGAGTTGTCAGTCCACCCCTGGCTGTGAGCGTGCAGGGCGCACGCTCTTGGCACATGTTTGTTTACTTTTGGTATGCAAATATGCGGCCACTCAGCATCAAGGCCCAACCTCCGAGAGACCGCATCTTTGCGTACTGTGGGCATGAACAGGCTAAAAACTAGGAGTCCTTTGAGAATTACCACATAAGTATAAGAATTATGTACAATGTAAGGACAAATAAAAGATGCTTATTTAAAGCATAACCCTTTCCAGAATGATTAGGAGTTGCAGTGTGAGCAACCCACTATCATCTGTGCACTGTAGCCAGAAGTAGGGTGGATAAAAATCAATGATTTTTTTTTTTTTTTTTAAATAGGATTTTTTTTTTTTTTTATCAAATTTATTTTAATAAAATGCTTTTGGAGTAAAAATCTATCTAAAGATAGTTTTCTATTTAAGATACATTAATAATTTAGTTTATTCAGCATGAAATGGAGCTTAGTTATGTAGCATGAGGCTGTATATTCTGCAATATTTACATTTTTGGTAAACTCAATCAATGAATCCAAGCTCTACAAGCTTAGATAACATACACTGCATTGATTCGTTCACACAATTTCATAGTAATCATGAGAAAAAACATGAAATAAAAGAATTTAAGTAGTTCTCCAGCTATGTGTGATTAACCTAAAATCGGTTTTGATATTGCTGTTTTACTAACCTGACAGCTTATTATTCTACAAAGGAAACCTTCATTTGGTTTGCAAATATTAAAGATTCTAACTACCAGCAATAAGGAGTCAAATTCCTTGCATTTAAAGAGCACCTGTCATTTTAGATCCATCATGGCAGCGCCTGTTAGCGGGCATCCACTCACCTGCTGCCGCCACGTCCCTCACCTTTTTGTTTTACTGCCGCATCACCCGCCATCCCATTAACTTCTTCCCGTCCAGCCCATGTATAGAAACAGCAAGACGGGAGCAGTGCAGGGGCGGGTGGCCGTTTATAAACGGTCCCCCTGCCCCCTGCTTGTGCGTGCTCTCTGGGAGCATGCAGCACTGCGATCCAATGCCCGCTGTGTCCTCTGGACAGAGTGGAACACCGATTATTGTAAGGGGCCTCTGTGCGAGGTGAAATCTGTGAATGATCACAGAGGTCACATGGTACAATGTTATTCACAACAGCCTTGTACCATGTGACAAGCTGTGACAAATCACAGCTCACACAGTAGTTCTCAATGGGTGCAAGAATGCAGCCAGAGAGAAGGAGAAATGATTGCTTTTACATCCTTTATGGCTGTAAAAGCAATCAGTGTAAAAAAAAAAAAAACATTTCATAACCCCCCACAAGTAGTACAGTGTCACTATGGTGACACTGTACTGCTAGGATGACAGTATGTTAAAAAAAAACATAAATAATAATATAAAAAAAATAAATATAAAAACAATTTAGAAAAATTATAATTTTTGGTTATAAACTAATTTGGGTTATTTGTTTTTTACTAAAAAGATAACTGAATAAATTTTGGTCAAGATTTATGAAGAAAGATTATTTATTTGCAAAATGTTATAAAATTTTTTACTTTTTCATTTATATAGCAAAAAAAATAAAAATCCCAGTGGTGAATAAATAGCAACAAAATAAAGTTTTATCTGTCTCAAACAAATGCTAAAAAGTTCATATGGGTACAGTGTTGCATGACCGCGCAATTGTCATTCAAAGTGTGATCGCACTGAAAGCTGAAAATTGGCCTGGACTGGAAGGGGGTAAAAGTGTCCGGACTTGAAGTGGTTAAAGTGAATGGGACTGTTGCTGAGTCACCAGCAGGTCAGAGGAGAAGCTGCTGCAGGACAGAGATGACAGTTGCTCTTTAAAACTTGATTTAAATTGAGTCTTTTCACTAGTGATTTAAATCATGATTTAAATTGTGATTTAAATCAACTTGATTTAAATCAAATCTCCCCTAGCCAGAAGTTTAAAGTTTTTTTTCTAATTAAAAGATGTTATACTGCCCTGTTCTGTTCAGTGATATTGCACAGAGTGCCCACCTACTGCCTCTTCTAGAGACCCCCACCAGCGCTATCTGCTTTTACTTCCTTTGGGTACCTCCTTAACAATCTGTGCACTATGGGGGGACCCATGTAGACACACTCTTGAGCTGGGCCGTGTGTCTCCATAGATACATACAGCCCAGCTCAGCCATGCTCCTCACTCCCTCCTCACATGAGTTGATTGACAGCAACAGGAACCTATGGCTTCCACTGCTCTCAGAGTCTCCTGTGAAACCAGTAAGAGAGAGCAGAGCTGCATCTGAGACACCGCTGTTGCGTGAGAGGACTCAGGTAAATGTTTAGGAAGGGGCTAGGAACAGGTATTGCAAGGTTTTTTTACCTTAACCCCTTTGCACCGGCGCCTCCCGGCCCTTTAAGAGGTTTCAGAAGGCGGGAAGCAGGGCAGAGTTTTAGGGCCATGTGACCGCCATGGTTCGCTGTCACGGCGGTCACATGATCAGAAAAGTCCCGATCGCAAGGAGAAATCGGGACCTTTTCGTGTGTCATGGACATATGTGCTGGGAGTGTGCAGGGCTCTCAACACATATGTATTTTCAAATGGTACACAAATATGCGGCCCGCTCGGCATCAAGGCCCAGACGCCGAGTGGCCACTTATTTGTGTGCGCTCGGCATCTAGGGCAGGGGTAGGCAACCTGCGGCTCTCCAGCTGTTGCAGGACTACAAGTTCCATCATGCCTCTGCAGGTCATAGCTGTAACTGTCAGTTTTGTAATCTTTGCAATGCCTCATGGGAAATGTAGTTCCACAACAGCTAGAGAGCCGCAGGTTGCCTACCCCTGATCTAGGGGTTAATATAGAAAACTCATTAAAATGTAAAAAATGTTTGAGTTTAGAACCACTACATTTCAGCATTGGATCTTCAGCGCTTACTGTACTTTTTCCCAAATCGAGCAGCAGCCACACATGGCACACATTTCATTAGTGGTCATTTATTTTTAAAATGCAAATGTCCAAAAATTGTTTTTGGCTGGAGTTCAGGTTTAATAATATCATAAAAATGCTATTCTTCCACTGAGTTTCTTCTAAGGTAATCATGAGAAGTGGTAAACAAGCACTCTGCTAATGAAGCTCATTAATTTTTTCCTTGTGTTTATAACACAGTACTGTTCAGTGAAGAAAGACTACGCAAATAACGTCTTACTGGCATCTAGGAAAAGGAATACAGTTTTCTTCAGTCTTAAATCTTACAGAAATTTGGGGAATTTGACCTTTGGTTCCTTTTTGAATAAATATATCATTTAGTTTGCTGTGATATTTGCTCATTGTTATAAATGTTGTTTTAAAACGCTCTTGCATACCTATGCTAGGCATTGGGAAATTTTTTTATATATCTTAAACTTTTTTCTGAGGTAGTTTTGATCAAAGCAATACACTTGCATTGGATAAGATAATAAGTATATCATGCTGTAATATTCTCAGGAATAGATTAATCAGTAAAGATAAGCAGACAGGTTTATACTCAACCAGCCCTACTGAAAACTGTAGAATGATATTAATCTCCAATGAGATATTGTCAACATTTGATGAATGTTCTTGTATACTGTGCCTTCTGTGTTGGCATGCACATACATGAGTTTCTTTACATTTCATTCCAAAAGTCCAGTGGCTACAATACTGTGCTCTTGAGTATTTTGATATTATTGCAGCACACAATCATCAAAACACGGCCATAGACCTTATGTCCATGTGCCATACAATTAGAAAGCCTGTCCATATTATCTCATTTACCCTTGATTATGGTCAATAGAATGAGTAAAGAATTAAAGCCAAAAGTCTCAGAAATGCAGACATTACATGTTCTTGACCAAGATCGAAGAGCTTTTTGGAGCAGAACAACACTTCCTAAAACCTAACCCCTAAACGTAATAATACCACTTACTTTATCAATAGCTAAAGTGTCCTGCACTGCATACCCCATACTTACACTGCCTAAGCAAATCCTTACAGTGATGTATACCAATATTAAAACAAAAATGAAAAATCATAATCCTTCACTGTACTTCCCAATTTGCAGACTTGCAAGTAGATCACTGATTTCCCTACTAATTACTCTCAAGGAGCTAGAAGATAATACACTAAATAAATTATATTTGTTATTACCTTCAGTAGTAGCTTCTCCTTCAAGAGGGGCTCCTTCGCCACTTTTGTAATTAGCAAAAACTGAGATTTTATATTTTGTTTCTGGTTTAAGGTACTCTAGGACCGTATTAGTGACATCACCAGGTACAGTCTTCTCTCCAGACTCATCATCAAACAGAGATTTCCATGCAATTCTGTAACCACGAACCATTCCAGGAGCTGCTGTCCATGATGTTCCTATTGTAGTGTCTGTGGTATCCTTGGTTATTAAATCACGAGGTGACCCTCTTTCTACAAAATACAGTGAAAGAGCAAAAACTCATTATGACATTATAGTAAAGTTCACCCTGTAATCATAATATCACATAGGCAACCTCAATTATAGCTCTTTATAGGTCTGAACAAAATGGAGGCAATCTGAAATAATTTTTCACAGTTCTAAATACTCTGTACTGATGAAAGTTTAAAATGGATTGTTACAGCTTACTGGATACCACTGTATTTTTTCTATTATCTTAATGTGGCTATAAATGCATAGCTTCTCCCAGCTCCCCCTTAAACACTTACCTGAGCTTACTCTCAATCCAGCATTGTGCCCGTTTGAAGCAACTATTCTCCCCTTTCTCTCTTCTCAAAGGAGACTTGGCAGCAGCAGGAGCTATTGACTCCTGCTGTTGTCAGACAAATTCTGTGAAGAAGGAGTGAGTGGCAGGGCTAATCGGCACTGTGTGTGTCTATGGTTGCACACAGCTCGAATCAGGCTTGCGCCTGCATGTGCATCCCCATAACTTGGGACAGTTTCTGTCCCACTGACAATGGTTCTCACGATAAAAAGAGAGAGTGAATTTTCTAATCAAGGGCAATGGCAGCTATTAAAATGTAGCAGAGATTTTACATTTCCATACTTTAGTTTAAGTAATCAAAAAAGTTTTGGCTTTGGATTCACTTTTACATAAAATTACATCTAGGGAACAAATATGTAGTATTGAACTAATCAATTTATGAATCAGAAAAAATTGGTACATCTCTTCTTTCATGGCAAATTTCAAAATTTCAATTTACCTAAATAACCACATGGAAAATCGTAGAATTAAATTCATCATTGAATTGAAGTCATAAACTGGAATTTGTAAACTGCACAATTCTACACCGATAATAAAGTTTGCCAATACGTATAATATAATCAAACATTTTATTTGCTAAAAAAGATTAGATCTGTCCAATTCACATTCATTCAATTTATATTTCTCCAATGATCAATATTAAAACAGTGACAGTAAAATATGGAGGCTGTACAGAAATAAGCATCTGAAATGGACAGCTGGGTTTTTCAACTACTCATATACTGTAATGTGTATTTTTTAATATGGAAATTGAAATAACCTTTAAATTTTATTAAAGCCTTTAAATGACAAAGAATAAGTTTCTCTTTACATAAAATATATTACAAAGAGATGGAAGTACTTTCAATAAAATAATTTTACAATGCCAAGTGGCCTGTGATATACAATCCTACTGAAACAGACAGGAAACTGAACATTTTGTTGGGAGTTTAGAAAAAAAAATGACGCAAAGCTGTGGTAAAAGGTAAAAATAATATTTATATTCTTCCTGTTGCCTCATGTCCCTGTCTACTATTTTGGCTGTGTTCTCTTCCTTCTTGTTCAGCTGAAATTTTGAGTGTGGTTATTACCGTTACCTTTCATTATAATACCCCGTACAAATATATACAGTTTGATTAATTTCAAGTGGGTTATTTAGCACATATCACACTGTATCTTAAGCTTAAACCTATGCTTTTAAAGCCCAACTCCACCTTGGATGCAAAATTAAAAAAAAAAACATTGGCTCAGCATATGTGAAAAAAAAGTTCCTTCTGCTATATGCTCTGGGCACATCATAACACCAGCCTAGGATTATGTCATTATGTGAGCACTGCACTGTCCAGGAGTAAAGGACTCCCTCCACCACAGGAGAAGAGAAAAGACCTATGATTTCACTTGACTAGCCAGAACACAGAAGAATTAAAGGTCTGCATAACAAAATGTGCAGGGACCTTCAGGGGCAGAGAACTGAGGGGGGAGGGGGGAATGTGGATGGGCTTTAAATAAAGTCTATTATTACTTTTACAATGATATAATTACGATTGTTGAAATGTTGATATTGTTCTATACTTCAGTGGGGTTGATTAACTAAAGGAGTGGTAATGTCTACATTACCAAGTGAGTGCTTAGTACAAGGTGAATATTTAATTTAGTCATCAAACCATATAAAAGCAAATTCTGTTTTTTAAAGCTGAACTAGAGGCAGATATAAACATACACAAATTAATGGAGCTCTATAATTAATAATATGTCTTAAATGTGTACCTGTGTCTGGAATATGGACATTAAAGTACTTACAAGTATTAAAGGAGCTTTAAAACAAGCCCTCACTGACCTCATTTGCTGCCTGCTATGTGAAATAACCACTCTTCAAAGTTCATAGCAAAGACTTTAAAGTCAGTTTTTAGCAGCATGTGTTTGTGTACATTAGAGGGCTAGTAGACTGCCAAGGTTCTGCTCTCCACAAAAAGTAAAGGGGAAAAGAGTAATGATTTAAGTGTCCTTATTGTGAATTTTGAAGATTAATTTCACAATAATGCCTACAGCTATGAAGGTGAACACGTTTTTGTTTAAAAGTTTTTTGTAATTTTTAGTAAAGTCATTTTGTAATTTTTTATATGTACTGTAAATATTTTAATGTGCATAATCTGGCCACAGGTCCAATTTGAATGTGTTTAATGCAGTGTAAGTACATGAATTTTACCTGGTCTCAGCCTCTTGCAGTACCTTTACAGAAGAGCTTAGAGAAAGGGAGGGAGAGGAAGCACAAGGAGACACTGGGGCAGGGGTGGACTGACCATTCGAGCACTCGGCACTGCCCAAAGGCCCGGGGTCAGTAGGGGGCCTCATAAAATGCCCCTGGTACCTTTTATAGGCTTTTTTGGGTGTGTTTTGAGTGTGAGCAAGGACACAGGGGCCCCATGATCCCCAATTGCCCGGGGGCCCCATGAGTTGTCAGTCTGCCCCTGCACTGGGGTTTGCTGAAGTGCAAGGAGTAGGCGCATAGGAAAAGATAGTAGAGTGACAGAGGGATGGGCATGTCTAATCGCAGATGGGGGTAGGGAGAAGACAGAGCGTTAAAGAGGTAATAAACATCGCTTGGTCAGTTGTACTTTTTATTGTAAGCTTACCTGTATGTACAGTGAATGTCTCCTAAAGGTGCACCGTTTAGGAGATATTCACATCTTTAGCAGCCAATGATGTCATTGGTGCATGCGCACTGTGCTCTCAATGGACAGAATGCCATCCATTAAGAGAGCTGTGCTGAGGCAATGACTCCTGTGCGCATGCGTGGTAGTGACGTCATTGTGTCTAGGCCATTAAAACAGCCAGAGCCAACGAACCCAGAAGAAAGACCAGGTGAAGATGGACATGCTGTCAGCAGTGACAGGGCCGCTGGAAGAATCCATTTTGAAGGTAAGTGTTTCATATAGGGCTAGTATGCTAGTAGCTTCTCATAGTTTAGTGAACATTCCTTTGCAATATGAACATCATCCACCCCATAATAAGCCAACAACAAGGATTTAATAATGTTTACATAAATTAGTTAGTAAAGTGAATTGTAACCATCCAGTTATGCTTGTTTTTTTTGCAATTCTCCTTACACATGGTTGGGTATTTAAAGTGACCTCAGCTTCACATTATTCACTATGTGAACAGTCTTTACTAAAAGCTGTGGGTTAATTTATTGATACTTCTTTTATTTACATATAGATATAAAGCAAGTTTAACTCTTATTACGCTAACTTTGAATAGATCTATTCAGGCTGGCAAGTGGACAGTTACGTGAAAAGTCTCCAGTCTCAAGCTAGTAGCTTGGTTGCTCGTCAATAAACATGGAGATTTATTGATATATCCTAGTAAATGACAAAGCTACTACCAAGAATAGTGAATGCATCTTAGAAGAGACAGTGACTAATTAAAAAAGGAGGCTTCAGTCTTGACAGGGGAAGATATTTGTTCAAAAGAATTGTAAGCCCCTTCACCAGGCCTTCAAAAAGGATTTACAATCACTACTGTGTAATAAGAATGAATATTTCAGTGGGGGGCTTAAGAAAACAAAAAAATGTTATAAATGTTCGTAATTGGATTATGAATGTGTGTTTTTAGCAGTTATTAACATTTTACATTGTAAATTTCTAATCTCAAAAATTTTATTTTTACTGGTAATCATATGTCTTAACACTTTACCCTTCAAATTGGAGTTCTTCATGCTATTACACATTTGTAATGATTATATTCTGTATATCCTATCTGTAGCCCTGATTAAGGGGCTGCAGATCCCTGAAATGTGTTGATTCTTTAAAATGTTTATATTAAAATACTTTCTATTGTCACAACACCTCTCTTTTGGAATTATGTGTAGCCCCTTATAATTTGACTGGCACGTTTACAATTCACAGTATTCAAGTGGAGAGCTGTAGAACAGTTGATTCAAAGTAGATGAAAAAAACTTATTGGTGGCATTTGTACATTTAGTACATTTCTGGGTATTATAGAAAATTGATGTTATTGTAATTGTTGTGAGTAATTTGCAAGGGCTCTTTTTCCCAAATATATTAAAAGCAAATTCAAATAAATAAGTCAACTCCATTGGGTTTATTTACATAGGCTGTTAACTTTCAAGGAAAGTTTATCTTATCTAAGTGAATGAGAGGAAGCTCTCCTGACTTCAATATCTAATCATTTGCAAAATCTTTTTTTACTTCTCTTGCATGTGATTGAGTGTTCTTTGCATGCGTTTTTCACTGCGTTTCCTAAGCTAAGTTGGAGTGTTTCATTGCAAAGTGAAAATTCTTTTCCAAAGTGAATGGCCTATTAGTAAATCAACCCCCATAAACCAATTACCTTAGATTATTCATAAGTAAGAATGATTATAACAGAAAACCTGGCAAATAAAATAGCTAGAGCTGTATAAGGCAGGGGTATACTGCAGTATCAAGGACATATGGCAGCCATTGAGATATAAAGTATAAATGATTGCACTTCTTAACTGTGGAGTTATGCGACTTAACAGAAAGATGTAATTTTATAGTTATGCTTTTGATCATTCAGTCATCTTGCTTACATTTACATTAAAGAGGCACTTGTAGGTCAGACAAATATA